GGTCACGACGGGCTTCCCGGAACTGGTGGTCTAAGCTGAATTTGTAAGGAAGAGGAAGTGGAAGAGAAAGCCGCACAGAATGAGGGGTGCCAGCCAGAAGCCAGGGCGGGGGGCGGGGGGCTGGGAGTTCCGGCTGGAGGTGAGCAGAAGCCACTCTCAGATGGACCCCTGGCGGCCACGCCTCCCAAGCGGCCCGACGCTGAGGCCCCGCCCCTCCCGAAGGCTCCGCCCCATATCTAGGCCCCGCGGGCAGGATTTGCAAGAAATCCACTTCAAAGGGTCCCAGGAAGCGCGAGCGAGCCCCAAAGGAAGCGGTGCAGCCTCTAACCCACCTCTGGGGGTGGGGGAAGCCCCGCAATTATAATGGGGGCTTCCTCCCTCGCCGCCCCCCTCTAAATCCGGGAGCCCACGTTTCAGTGTCCCCCGCCCCAGCTCAAACTGCTTCACATGGCGAGGAACGCGGCAAAACTTCTGCTCAGGCAAGTTCACTCCAAAAACCTGAACATCAAATATCACTTTGCGGCTGCAATTGGGGAATGTGTCCTTTTGCAAAAGATGGGGTACCTGTGTGTGCAAACCCACAAACATTTACTGAGCACCTACTGTGTGCCAGGCTCCACAAGATGGAGTAAAACTGGGCCTTTGCCCGCAGGAACTCCCAGCCTACCTGGGAGGAGTGATAAGAAGGTAATTATCATAGTGTGAGAGCGGAAGTATGTTCCAGGTGAATCTATTTGGCATGGAGGAGCGGAGCCAGCTTTTCAGAAGTGACTTTTTATTGTGAGGGTGACAATAGCTAAGCTTGAACGCACACTCTGTGTGCCAGACACTGTGCTAAGGGCTTTATACAGATGATCTCATTTAATCCCAACACCAGCTCCCTGTAGGGTGGGAACCATTGTTATTATACCCATTTTACAGAGAAGGCAGCTGAGATCATACGGCTTCCCCAAGGCTATGCAGTTGTTGAGGTGGCAGAATCGTGGTCTGCTGGACCCACTATGCATTCATTCATTCACTCATTCATTCATCACATCTGTCTTGGACGCATACTATTGGGCTTCCAATGTTCCCTCTCCTGTGCTGCTCCAAGGCAGGTCTTGAAGAGTGAGTAGGAGGTGTTGAGGTGGTAAGGGGATCCAGAGAGAGAGAATAGCTTGGACAAAGGCACCCAGGCAGGAAAGTGCATGGTGTGTTCAAACAAGAGCTGGTAGACTGGGCTCTGGAGTGAGACACACTTAACTTTGGAGTTCCACCTCTGCGCTTTACTAGCTGTGTAACTTCAGGCAAGTCCGTTCACCTCTCTGAGCCTCAGTTTCTTTAGCAAAAACGGGGACAATGTTAGGTTTTCCTCCCAGGGCTGTTGGGAAGATATAGATGAGTTCACATAAGTGGAAGTGGCTTGGGACATAGTAGGCCTTCAATAAATGTGAATTGAATGAATGGAGGGGACTGATTCAGGCTGCACCATCAAATGTGAGCATCTATTGAGTGCAGGAATGCAAAGGGATGCCAGATTCAGCCCCTGCCTTGGAGAGCTTACAGGCTAGTTTGGGAGATAGTTCAGAGGCTCCAGAAACAGGAAGAGTTGAGCTGCTGAGGCCAGGGTCCTGATGGGAATGTGGTATCAGGGGGTCCAGGGGAGGGTGCAATCCCTGGGGGCTTCATGGAGAAGGCAGTAATTAAACTGGCCTTGAAGACCCCGGCAGCAGAGGCATCATTTCAGGTTGGGGGACTGCTCTCTGGTTCCTGGAATTCAGTGCTTTGAGAGGCAATGGACAAGAGAGGTACTCACAAGAGTGGTTTCCTGAGCTAGACTGCCTGGGCTAACATCCCAGCTCCAATTTTTATGAGCAAGTTTGCTTCTCTGTAAAATGGGGACAGTGTTGCACCCACTGTTAGCGGTATAACAAGGGAGTGTAATAAGAACTGAGGGGGGATCAGTGCCTAGAATTGAGTGCGGCACATAAGAAGTGCTTTATATGTGTTGGCTTCGATTATTTTTCTGGTGCTCTTGGGCAGGTGCAGATCAAAGGCGAGATGGTGGAGCCCTGCCTCAACATTCCTCTTTCAGCCCCCAGCCAAATCCTGGCAAAGGTGGGCATGTGAGTGGGCCGGTGGGCTGGAGGTGGGGACTGGCAGGTGAGGCCACTGTAACCACACACAAAGACACACTGAGGCTCCACCTGCCTGGACCAGAAGCCTGGGCCGCTTGCAGTGGCACTTAGGCCCGAGGGCTCTCTGGGGCCTTTATGGGGTAATTCCATCTCCATTAGGGCTTATTATGTCACTATAAATACCACCTTTCGGTGCCGCTTTGTAAGACTCACCGAGGAACTTTCTTCAGCACCCAGTCTCCCAGAGTGGGAAAGACTCTGGCTCGGGACAGGAAGAGAGGGATGGGTGTGTCACTAGGTGAGTAAAGGCCAGGGAACTGCCCGTACCCCCGCCCTGCTGCCACCTCATACACCACCCCCTTCCACGGGCCTGGGCTCACATCACATATTGTAGATAAGTGATACTTAGCTCTGTACTCTCAGCCCCCAGCTCAGGCACATACCGTGGGTGCCAGACACACAACCTAGAATCAGCAGGGCCTGCCTGCACTCCTGGCACACGGGTTCAGCTGGCGGAGCCACACATGGAATCCCACATGTGCCACACAATATACCAACCTACACAACATACACTTTCATGCAACGTAGAATTTGCCAACACCTCATTCACTTATTGGTTCATTCATTTGGCAAAGGTTTGTTGAATGCCTACTCTGCGTCACGTGCTGAGGATACAACAGAGAACAGACAACCATCCCTCCCCTCCTGCAGCGTATCTTCTGGTGACACATCCGACATATAGAGCCTGCAGATGACATGTGACACACATGTACAAACAGGGTCCTACATACAACACACATGAAATCTTTTACATGCACCACACAGTGTCCATAGCCCAGAGGGTCCATCACAAGACACACTTATCCACGCACACCCATGTGCCCGTCCACCAAGCCTGTGCCTGCCACATGCCCCGCCTCCACAGATGCTGCTTCCTCTCACTGAACCACATGGAACCGTAATAACAGCTGGGATTTAATGAGTGCCTTCTGTAGTCCCAGCCTGTGTGGTTTACATGCATGGCCTTATTTGATCTTCACAATAACCCTCTGAAGTAGCTCTTTACATTTTCCAGATGAGCAAACTGAGGCTCAGAGAAGTCAAATGACTTGTCCAGAAACTCACAGGCAGTCTCACTCCATAGCCTATGTTCTTAACCATTGTGAAGTACAGCACACTCACACACACACTGGTACACACATACACCAACACTCAGATCCACACACAAACACACTCATGCACACATACTCTCACATGTACATGTACACACATACTCATCCACATACACCCCGACACTCAGATTCATATACAGACTGGCACACATACTCGTATACACATTACTCTCATGTCCACACACACTCACACATACACATACACACCAACATTCAGTTCTACACACACTCATACACAAATACTCTCACATCCACATACAAACACACACACCAACATTTACATCCGCACACATTCACACACACACTCATGCACACATACATCAACACTCTTATGTCCACACACTCACATCCATATTCAGACACACTTGCACACTCACACACACTTGCTGAAGACCAGGGTTCCCTTCCCATCATTTTGGTCGAAGGCTTTAATCACACTCTCCTAACACCTGTAATTAACCTCCCCACCCCACCCCACACTCCAGGGGAGATGTCTCCACTGCTTCCCAAGGGCAGAGGCTGAGGCTTGGAGGCCAAGATGTCTACCCCTGGCAGGGAGGACCCTGGTGCCTGAGTAGCCCAGCATGGCTGCTGGGAAGGCAGGCCCAGGGGAGCAGGAAGCAGAGTGGAGGATTGGGAGAGAGAGGAGGAGGTGGGCAGAGGGAAGCGCCTGCTGCAGCTGCTCCTCCCTGATTGGCCAAATGGCAGTTGGGCAACAGGCAGCTCTGGGTGGCCAGGACAGGCAAGCGAGAGGACATTTCCCGTTTGTCTCACTAACACCAGCAGCTTCCATCAGGAGGGGTGATGAGATTATGCCAGAGGAACTTTTGGAGAGAGGCCTCTTGAATGGGCAGGTGGCAGCAGGTGTCCTCCAAAGTGTCACAAGATGCCATTCCAGGGTAGGGGGGCATAGGTGCTCTGCACAGCAGCCCTTGCCTGCCTTTTCTCAGTATGGCGCAGTGGTTAAAGCAGAGACCACCTGGATTCAAATCCTGGTGGCCTTTGGGCATGTTGTTAAACTCTTACAGTTTCCGTTTCCTCTTCTGTAAAATGGGGAATAATGATACCTGCCTCACAGATGGGAATTAAATGAGAGAGTGTATCTAGTTGAAGAAGGTAATCAATGTCACTGAATTGTACATGCAGAAATTGTCGAGATGGTCTATGTTTTATTAAGTATATTTTCATTACAGTAAAATAATAATAATTTTAAAAAGATAGCGCATGTCTGACGCGTTCTGAGCCAAGATGCCTTCTGGACTTCCTACAATGGCGGTTTGGTGCAGCCTTCAGTTCCCAGGAAGAGGGGAGTATCGGGGTCTATTTCAGGGCTCCCCCTCCCGGACCTGCTGTTGCAGAGGCAGCTACTTCTTGAACTCCCATCCTTTTTCAGTCCAAGCCTTCAGGACACCGTTGAGCCCATTCCCGGAGGGCAAAAGGCGAGGGTGGGGATGGCTCAAGGCAGACCATCCCCACGTCTGGGGTCTGGACGGAGGACTCCTCGCTCAGCTCAGAGATCCTCCGGGACCAGCCCGTGAGGGTGCTGCCACTTGAAAGAGCTCTAACGCGGGAAGGTCTGGGAGTCGCCAGCGAGTCCAATGGGGCCCAGGTCCTCCCAACCCCCTCGGGACTTCCCTTCCCTCCCCTCGCAGTGCCAGACCGGCCCCTTTAAAGACATTCCTGAGGGCGTGGCTTAGGTGACGTCAGCTCGGGGCATGAATGAACAGGAGCCGGTTCTCACTCAACTTCCATTAAACACTTGAGGCAGGAGGGGCAGAAGTTGCACGCTGCAGGCGGGAGGGAGCCGGTCACTAAGGCCGGCGACGGGAGTGCGGGAGCCAGGCGCAGAGGGTCAGCCGAGAGGGCGGAGTGCGGCATGGAGCGCCAGGCGGCCCGCGCCTGCCTCGCCCTGCTATGGGGCTGCGCGCTGGCCGTGGTCGCAGCCGCGGCGGCTCAGGGCAAGGAAGGTAAGTGCTTGCCGCGCGGCCGGACCTGCCAGGACTCGGGACCCCGCGCCTGCCCGGAGCTCGGCGGCACCGACGCTCACAACTTTGGAAGGCGACCTGGCGCCGCCCAGTCCCTGATCGCTGGGGTCAGAGGGCGAGCGGGTGCCATCCGGGAGAGTCTAGGAGCCCCGTGTGGGCTTGTAGAGGCTCTGCGGGCTTGGGTTGCTCCCGAGCGCCTGCGGGGCTCGGAGGCCGCGGGGAAGGGGACGCTGCGCCGGCCACGCGGTTGTAGCCGGGGGCGGCGGCTTCAGGAAGCGTCCCGGCGGGGGGCGTGTGGTCCCTCGGAGAAGTATCTAGTGGCATCTGAAGAGCTTTTCGTGGGCTCAGCTTCTTGCAGACCCGAATTCACTAACCTGACTGCCCCTATTTTGTGGGACGGGCATTTATATAGCGGCGCCTCATTTTGGGGAGGGGGATCTTGGGCAGGCAGGTAGACCCCTGCCGCAGCCTCTGCTCCCTGAGATTTTCTCCGAACCCCTTTTGCCTCCAGTCCCTCAGGAGGGCATGGAGTGAGGTTCAGGCCAATTCTTGCCCACGCTGCGCCCTTCCCTTCTTCTCAGCCCGAACTCCCAGGCTTGGGGGGCAGTTTCGGGGCAGCGCTTGCGGACAGGAAGTCCGAAAGCCAAGCATTTTGAGCAAGGGGTGACTCAGAATGAGGAAATGCGGCCGGCGGGGCGCGGCTCCCAAGGTGTGGAGCCCGTCACCTCAGGGCCACCAAGGATCTCCGGCACCCGGGCGTGCGGGAGCTGAATCACTCACCCCCACCCCAGTGCTCCCAGAGCTTCTCTGGATGAGGGGCAGCCGATTTTGCCTGGGCGGGGCGGGGCGGCTGTGGGTATGAGGGTGTTGTCCCTCAGCCGGGGTTGCAGAGAGTCTGGGGGCTCCCGCACTTGGCCGAAGACCTTCCTGTCCATCAGCTAAGGCGGCTAGTTTCCAACATTGGGAACAAGTTTTCCCCACCGCCCCGGCAGAGGGAGGCTTCCGCAGCTCTAGAAGGGAGAAATGCGGAGGAAACCCTGGGCGGATGGAGGTTGCCTTGAGCCCCGGTTACCTCTTCTGTCTCTCAAACTGGGATTTGAGGGCTTGCTATTACGGGTTGGGAGGAAGAGAGACCAGAGCTGGAGCTGCTGTGTGTGGAGTGGCATTGGGGGTGGCATCCCGCCCCAGTTCCTGGAGCTGACAGGGCCATTAGTCCCGACTGGGAACTCTGCTTTCGCGAGGGGTGGGCGGCAGGACTTTCTGCCACCTCCAATACCCCCCCTCCCAGCTCTGGTCCTCCCCCTCTCTGGGGGACTGTGGTTGGAGGGAAGGGGAGAGACAGCTGGAAGAAGTACAGGCCTTTTTCTTGCGGGCTGCCCATGGCGGGGGTGGGGGTGGGTGGTGGTGGGGGTGGCCAGGGGGATTAGGCAGGACTGATGTGAGGCAGTGGTTGCTTTGCTGCTTGCAGCCCCAGCCTCTGGCCTGGAAACCTGGAGCCACCTTGTCCTTGTGCCCCTATTCCGCTGTCTCCCAGCCTATGTGATTAGCCCAGTCCCTGCTATGGGATGGGGGAGGAAAGGGGTGTGTATCGCTGAGTAAGGGATGAGGAAGCATTTTTGCTTAGTCCCCAAGAGTCCTTGTGAACAACTCTCTAGGGAAGTGTGCCTATGAGGGGTTTGATGGCCTGGCTGGCAGCTGCTAGTTTGTTATGCTCTTTGGGATTTAGGCTGGAGGTGGCCGATCCGTCTGGGGGTGGGTTGGGAGGCAAATAGGAGACACATGCCCTCCCACCCCTTAACCTAGGTTGCTGCTGACTTCTCTTCTCCTTTCTTGCCCCCACCTCCAATGGGTAGAGGAGCTGGAGTGTATTTGGATCCCCCAGATGGAGCCCTTTAGGTCCTCAGTGACCACAGAATCTGCCCACTGTTTACAAATGGGGGACACTGAGAGAGGCCTGTTCACTGCAGTGAGTGGTGGAGTGGCTGAGCCCTGCCAGCCCTGGCCCTTTGCACAGAGGGTCAGACCTGAGCATCTGGTTTCTTGGGCTGTCAGAGCAAGGGCCCCTTGCAGTGTGGTTTCATGGTAGATTTTCCTGGGAAGGGAGACTAGCCGGGCAGGGGTCCAGGTGAGGGTCTGGGCAGGTTCCAGGGGTTTCTGACCTGAGGCAGCTGATGGGAAGAGGGCTGGAGAGTGCCCAGGAGGCCCGGAAAATTCTGGGCTTCTTGATTTTGCAAGGGTACAGTTTACCCTCTGCCCCTTTCCCTTTTTCTTCATTTTTTTCCAGGTTCCCCTGCCTCCCCCTCTTCCCCTCTCCCCTTTCTTTAGGCATTAGCTATTCTTGGTTGAAGAGGGATGGGGGGAGTAGGGAAGTGACAATAGAGAAGTGAGTGGTACCACTACATTTGAATAAAAAGCTATAAAGCAATATAGATCCATAAGGATGGCATTAATGGTGGACGTTAAGGCAGAGAGGGAAGTTGGATGTTTTTCCCTGGGGTCAGAAGGCTCATGGATAACCCTTGCCTAGCCCACAGCTGCTCAGTGAAGCCTTTTAGGGCAGCCAAGGGGCTCCCGGGCCCCCTCCTCTTTCAGTGAAGCAGGAGCCTTCTCCTGGAAGAGCTCCGGGGAAGAGCTGCACCTGCATCTGAGTGGAGGGACCCAGGGTTGGGCTCCTGTTCCTGGTGGTTGGTTCCCGGGAATTTCCCAGGAAGGGGGCTGTGGCTGGAAGCCCTTGGGGGAGGCTCCTTCCTGTGTGAAGGCCTCTTTTCTTCTCAGATGGAGCCCTGTGATACTTCTAGAGCCCGGCCCAGGACTGGAAGGGGAGGGGATTCTGGGAGGGGCAGTGGGCGGCCCTCGGTGCCAGGTTAACCCTTCAGAGCTGGGGGTAAGGAGCCCCTCCCTCTGAGGCACAGACTGTGGCTTCTCACCTGGCTGGGGAGGGTGTGTGTACAGAACTCACCGTCCCCCTACCCACACAGCTGGAGTCAAGAACCCTCAGATTCCTTCCTGTACAGCTGGAACATTCCATTTGCTAGTGGGGTTAGTGGGTTTTTCAAGCCTGGGCCTTGGGCATGTCTGAACAAATCCCTGCCCCTACCCCTGTTCTCCCAATCCCAGCCAGCCTCCCCTACCCCCACAGCCTCTGCCTGGGACCAGTGCCACATCGGATTTCCTCTTCCCTGTCTGAGCTCCCCAGTCCCTTCCTAGAGAGGAGATTTGGCCCAGGTCAGCAGTTGGTCAGGGTGGCAGGGCCTCACACCAGGCCTGGGGGCCCTCAGCTCAGGGGTGGAGGGCAGTCTAACCTCAGGAGAGGGTGTCTAAGACTACTCTTGAGAGCCTCCAACCCCTCAACCCACTCCCATCCCTCCAAATCAGCCCCATGTCTGCACCCATCCTACCCGAAGTACCACCATTCTTCCGAGTCCTGGGCCTGAGGAATGTTGCTTCTGGAGGCCTTATTCTTCATGCTCCACGTCCAAAGGAAGTCATTACCTGCCTTTCCTCTGACCTTAGACCTTTACATCTTGAATTTGGGGGACTTGCATGGATTCCGTGCCTCAGTTTCCCCAATCTCCCTGCCATCCTGGAAGGGTGGTATCTGTTGGCAGTTACCTGGACTTTACTTGGAAATGAAGGAAGGGCAGAACCCAAGTTCTTGCGTTTTGGCTGCAGCTGCTGAGCCTGGCAGAGAGCCAGGGTGGACGATGGGAGGTGCCTAGGGGCAGGGCTAGGTGTGGGGAAACCCCTGGCACTGTGCTTTCCTCCTATGATGCCCCTTCCCCAGGCTCCAGATGCCCCTTTGGGGAAAGTGTGGTCCTGGCGCTTGGTTCCTTTGGGGCTGGAAAGTCCCCTACAGAGGTTTCTATCCCTGGTCCCCCAGGTATTCCTGGAAGGCAGTGGTCAGGGTATGAGGGCACAATGGCAGTGGGAGTGACTTTCCCAGGGAGGAGACCTCGCCAGCTGTGTGTATATTTGGGCCCGTCCTAGAGGCCCCTATGGTTTCAAGGCTTTATCCCGCCTGCTCTGTGGCTTTTGTGGTGAGCAGATCAGGTTCCAGACCTACCCCCCCATACCCTTGCCCCCTCCCCTCCCCAGAGTTGTTTCCAGCTGTTAATAACTCTCTCTTCTTGGAGGGCCATGACCCATGATGCACATACATGTACATACGTGTGTGTTCCCAGGCCTGGGTGGGGTTGGGGATGTTTCACGCTGGAGGGGATGTGGTGAGAGCAGACACGAGTGTCCTGGCCCAGTGGCACACATGCATGTGAAGTGCTGCTGAGGGCCTCATTCAAGGAAGCAGACGGGGCGGCCTGGTGTCACTTAATACCCCGCTCACTCCAGCTCTCTGCCCAGCTGCTGTCCTCCCGCTGGGCTGAGCTCCCTGTCCTGCTCTGCCCAGCTGGGGGCTGGCCGAGAGGGCGGCATGGCTAGAGCCCTGGCCTGAGAGATGGAAAGTCTAATCCTCACCTCAGTCTGCTGCCTGGCTTCAACTAGGTTCTGTCCCTTCTCTGGGCCTGCATTTCCCAATTTGTCAAGGAACAGATTTCTTGGATGTGGTGACCCTACGTAGTGGGGTCTCTTTCTGAGAGCTGAGGAGGCCATCAGCGCCTCATAGGATTCTTGGGGGGACTCTCGCATTTTCCACCATGGTCCAACCCATGACAAGACCTCCAAGCTCACCCAGCCTCTTCTCCTGTCTCTCTTCCAGTTGTATTGTTGGACTTTGAAGCAGCTAAAGGCGAGCTCGGCTGGCTCACGCAGCCATATGGCAAAGGGGTAAGCCTTCAGGGTTGGGTAGGGCATGGGAATGGGGTCGATGTTCCCCTATATAGATGGGAAAATTGAGGCCCACAGAGAGGATGGGACCTGGCTTAGATCAAGTAACTCAACCAGAGTTAAAACTCAGGGTCCTCCTTCCTAGACCAGGCCTCCAAGTCAGCCCTCCTGGGCCAGAGCTACTTGGAATTTGGGAGGTAGGGGAAGGAACTGAGAGGTAGAAGAAGCTGGGGAGACAGCTGAGCAGGGACTCTTGGGTACCCTAGAAGTGCTGATGGCCGGAGGGACCTCCCTGGCTCCTTCCATCCACTTCTTGGGAAGGAAAGAGTTAAAGGCCTTTGAGGTCCCAGCCCAGGAGGTGAGGGGTGATGGAGAGACTGAGAACAGTGGCTCCCGTCTCCCCCCACAACCTGAGGGAACCGGATCAGGTTCCTTCCTGCCAGCCCCTCTCCCTGCCCGCCCCCCCCCGCCGCCAGCTGTTGCTTCCCCTTCCTTCTCGGGTCTGAGTTTGTTTTGCCTGATTCCCACCCAAGTTTCCTCCCCCTGCCCTGCCTTGTGCTGGTGGTGAGGGCAGGTTGTGACCAGGACTGGTAGGCAATAGGTTGAGGTCTTTTCCTGGCCTTGTGTAGGACTGCTGTGTGATCTTGGAGAAGATATTGTTGTTCTCTGGGCCTTACTTTCTCCATCTGTACAATGGGCCCTTGCTGAGTTTGTCCTGGGGCCATAAGCTGGGAAGAGGGGTGTCTCCAGGGGGCTACTTAGAACATTCCCACTGCTGGCCAGATCCTTGTGTGTCTTGTGCCTGTCCCCCGGCCATCCCAGCTCTGAGGGGTCAGGGCAGGAGCTAGAGGAGGCCTGGGTATAGCTCGGAGCAGATTTCCAGGGTCCTGGAATGTCCAGCTAGGAGGGAACACAGATCACCTAATCTACCCAGTCATTATACCAAGTAGGGAACTGATGCCCAAGGGCATGCAGGACCTTGGCCAGTGTCACACAGCACAACCCAGGCCTCTTTCCTCGGCCCCTCTGCTGTCATTTATTCATTCAACAAATACTTTCCTGAGTACCTATTCTATGCCAGATAAAGATAGAAATGAATTAGACTCAGTCCCTGCCCCGAGGAGCTCAGGATCTAGTGCAGGAGCCAGACTAGGTGTCATCATGCAGGTGCCAAGTGCTGTGATAAAAGGGACATGGAAACCATGGGAGCCAGAGGGTGTCATTTGGTCTAACCTTGGCCCACCCTGGAAAAGCTTCCTGGAGGAGGCTGAGCTGTGTTCTGAGGAGGGAAGAACGTGTGTTGTTCTGTTTCAAAGCCAAAATCTAAATGGTGGAAGATCATCCATTGTTTTGACTTAACCTCTTCCCCTGCCACTCATACATGTCTACACACACACACACACACACACACACAGAGAGAGAGAGAGAGTGAAGAATAATAATAATGACAGTAATAATTTTAGAAGCTGCCTTGTATGACTGTTACCCTGTGCCAGGCACTGTGCTCAGCATTTTGTAGATAATAAGTTATTTATCCTCACAGCAATTCTGTGAAGTAGGGGATCTTGTACAGATGGGGCCATTGAGGCTCAGAGAGCTTAAGTGATTTGCCCGAGGTCACAGGGTAAGCTGGAGCCCCTCAGACTGCACCCCAGGCTCACAGCCTAGTGTAGAGGTTCAACACCCAGAGACTGGGGTCAAATCCCAGCTCGGCTACTCCTAGTAGTCGACTTGAAGCACCTCTCTGGGCCTCAGTTTCTTTCCATGTAAAATGGGGATAGCGAGAGCTGTAAACCATCTTCCTGGTGCCCAGCTCTGCCACTTGTGGCTCAGTTTCCCCTGGGTGCCCGCTCACACTAACCTGTCGGCCCCTGTGCAGTGGGACCTGATGCAGAGCATCATGGACGACATGCCCATCTACATATACTCAGTGTGCAACGTGATGGCTGGCGACCAGGACAACTGGCTCCGCACCAACTGGGTGTACCGTGGTGAGGCCGAGCGCATCTTCATTGAGCTCAAGTTCACTGTCCGAGACTGCAACAGCTTCCCCGGTGGCGCCAGCTCCTGCAAGGAGACCTTCAACCTCTACTACGCCGAGTCTGATGTGGACTATGGAACCAACTTCCAGAAGCGACAGTTCACCAAGATTGATACCATTGCGCCCGACGAGATCACTGTCAGCAGCGACTTCCAGGCGCGCCACGTGAAGCTGAATGTGGAGGAGCGCTCCGTGGGGCCCCTCAGCCGCAAGGGCTTCTACCTGGCCTTCCAGGACATCGGTGCCTGTGTGGCACTGCTGTCTGTCCGCGTTTACTACAAGAAGTGCCCCGAGCTGCTGCAGAGCCTGGCCAGCTTCCCTGAGACCATAGCTGGCTCTGAAGCGCCCTCCCTGGCCACCGTGGCTGGCACCTGCGTAAACCATGCTGTGGTGCCACCTGGGGGCGAGGAACCCCGCATGCACTGCACAGTGGATGGTGAGTGGCTGGTGCCCATCGGTCAGTGCCTGTGCCAGGAGGGCTACGAGAAGGTGGAGGATGCCTGTCAAGGTGAGTGGTGGTGCTGGGGTAGCAGGGAAGGGGAGGTATGGGGTGGGAGTCTGCGTTCCTGGGTTCTCGCGCCAGTTCTGCTGTGGAATCTTGGTAAGTTTGTCTCTAATCTGACATGCAGTGGTACTGTTAGTGGAAGCCGCAGGGCCTTCCTGGACATCAGTTCCCTTATTTTCAACTGGATCCACTAATTCATTCAGAATGAATTGAGTAACACTATAGTGTGGTGGTTATGAGCATGGATGCTAGGACAAGAATGTTGTTAGTTGCTGTCACATTGATTCCTACTTGCGGTGACCCCATGTGTGCAGAGTAGAACTGCTCCCTTGGCTGTGACCTTTTGGAAGCAGATCACCAGGCCTGTTTTCTAAGGTGCCTCTGGGTGAGTTTGAACCACCAACCTTTTGGCTAGCAGTCAAGTGCTTAACTGTTTGTGCCACCCAGGGGCTCCTTAGGGCAACAATGCCTGGGTTCAAATCCTTGCTCTCCATTTTGCTGGTGACTTTAGGCCAGTTCCTTAACTTCTCTGTGCCTAAGTCTCCTCATCTGTAAAACAGAGATGATCATAGTGCCTACCTCATAGGGTTGTTTTGCTAATCCAGTGACTTAATACTTGTAAAGTGCTTAGGTCAGTGCCTGACACATAAATGCTTTATAAGTGTGGCTATTATTTTTGATTCATCCCACAAATATATCTTGAGCACCTACCACATGCCAGCCCAGTGGAAATATGGTATAATCCCAAGAACAAGGTTATCTCTGTTATTAACTAACTGTGTGAATTTAGGCAAGCCACTTAACCTCTCTGAGCCTCAGGGTCCTCTTTTGTGCATGGAGGTGATTGATTTACACCTGGGATTTGCATTCTCTGACTGCACATTAGAATCACCTGGGGAGCTTTTGAAAAACACCTATGACCAGGCCAGTTAACCAGACTCCAGACACATTGGGGAGACTAGCTTGGTGTGGCCAGGGCCTGTGACAGCGGAAATCCCTACAACAATGGGGCTTTTTCAGTGGGTGATTTTTCTGGAACTGGTTGTGGGGCAGTTGTGGAGTGCGGGCCGACCTTTGGAAGGCCGGTCCATCCCCTCTGGGAGCTTCTTTGCCAAGATAAGCGGAGTGTTGAGAAATTAGGAGTTTTGTCCGTGCATTTGCACACACCTGCTGGATAACCTTGGGCAAATTGTCATCTCTGACGCCAGGTTTCCTGTCAGTAAAATGAGAAAGTTCAATGGCACCAGCAGACTCTACTTGTTTTCAGCCATGGATCCTTCATTGAAGAGATCGAAGTATGGGAGGAGCCCGAAGCCCTTCCTGATGGGCCAACTTGCCTGTGAAAGCAAATCCTCAGAATCCTGCTTAACACAGTTTATAAGATCCTGGATAGAAGTTCCCTAAAAGCCTTTCTGGCCATAATCCTGTAGCATAGACCCTGCTCTAGCCCTTCCTACCACCCCCTTGTCCTCCAGCTCCCCTCCACTGAGCAAGCTCCCCCTTCCCACAGGTGGCCCCTGTCTTGGGTGACCTCAAATGCACACTCTGAGTCTCAGAGAATGACTGCAGGGTGTGAGGTGGGGGGGCACGTGGCAGCCCAGTGGGGTGAGCAGGCCCCTCCCACATGACATCCTTGCAAAAGAATGCGGGGGTGGGGGTGAGAGGCAGCTGAAAACTTTCCACAGGCTGGTGATTCAGGCCCTGCTGAGATAAGTGGACGGTTGGGGTTGGGGGGGGTCTCTCTGGAAGGGGGGCAGCCTTCCCTCCTCCGGAGGTGGGGGGTCAGGGATCCGGCAGGCTTTGTTTGTAAAGAGCTGAGCAAGCCTTGGACTGGGAGGATGCAGCCCAGTGGGAGGACTTGTTTCCAAGAGTGGAAACTTCAGCTTCGCTGGTGGGACCCTCTTGACTGCCAGCCACCTGTTGCCCTGACTTTTCCTCCTTGGGACCACCACCCCCCCGCCCCGAAGTCCTATCTGTGTGGTTTGGGGGCCCTCTGTGTGGCCAAGCCCTGGTGAGTGAGATTCTGAGAACTCCCAGCCTGGCTGTACTTGGCTGCCAGACTTTTCTCAGAAACCCCCGACCATGAGGCTGATGGAGGCAATAGCAGTATCTGTTGTAGAAGTAAATGGTTTCCAAGCGGCAGGCATCAAGAGAAGCAAGTGCTTTGCCTGCATGCTCTTGCTGAGTCCTCGCTACCTTTCTGTGACACGAGATCTGTTATTAACCCCATTTAACAGGTGAGGAAACTGAGGCTCAGAGAGGTGAAGGGACTTGCCTGGAGTCTCACATCTAAGATGTGGCTGAATCAGGATTTGAATCCAGGCTATGCAGTGGTGCCTGGGCCAGAGGATGGGTCAGGAAACAGGGCAGGAAGTGACCAGTTCCTTTGGAATCCCTGACTCAGCGCCTGGCCCTGGGACAGGTTCTCTGGGCAGCCCAGGGATGGCAGGTCCTGATGCAGGGTGTCAAGGTCTCATTCAGAAGTGAGGAGGGTGGGGGGGGGGCACTGCTGAGCATATTTAAGGGGAGCTGGAGGGAAGTATAGGATCTGCCCTCCTGCGTAACCTTCCCTGGGGCCACAGACTCAGATTCTCCCATTGGGGTTTCTGAGTCCAGAAAGGAAGCATGGATACCACAAGGTCACCCAGCACCTTGTCCAGGTTATTCCCAAAGTTCATTTCTTATCAGGGTTTTTTCCCTAGTAAGCCCAGAGCTCAGGAAAGAGTTAAGCGGGCAGCGGAAGGAAAGCACCTCCCAGGTGCTGTGTGTGGACAGGTGGGCACGCTGCCCGAGAGAGCTCCGGGAGCTATGTGAGGAATGAGCCAGCTTCCCTCTAACACCACCCCTCCCCAGGGGACAGTGGAGTCACTCAGGCTGACCGTCTCCCCTGGGGTGGCTTTGTCTCCCTGTCTGTCTCCGCTTCCTGTGCTGGCATCGGCAGCAGAGCTTGTGGGGGCCTGGCTGGCGCCTCAGCCCACGGGGACCGCTGGACAGGTGAGCAGGTGGCCAGCGGCCCTGGCCAGAAGCTCAGCCCAGCAGCTGGGAGGCCAGAGCAGGAGGTGGGGCTATGGGGTTGGGAATTGCCTCCTTGAAGACTCTTGCTCCCTCAGTGGGCCTGGCCCCTTGGAGATGTCCCCTCCCCACTCTAGTTTCACTGTCCCCCAGTTCTTAGGGATACCCCCTTCTAGGTACCTTGCTAAGTAGTTCACAGCAAGGATTCCTTCAGTCTTCACAAATAGCCTAGAGAGACTAAGGATTTTTTTATCCCCATTTTACAGATGAGGAAACTGAGGCTCAGGGAAAGAAAACAGTGACCAGTGACTGAAAGAGCTTGGGCCTGGCATGAGGAGGGCAACACTATTCCCAGTTGCCCCTGGCATGTGTCCTTCCACCCACAAACCGTGTGACCTTGGCGAGTCCCCCTCTGGGCTTCACTGTCTCCATCTGTAAAATGATTGGGTTGGACTAGTGACTCCTAGGGACCCTTGCTGGCCTAGTGGATGTGGCTGTGACTTTCTGAGGTGGCTCAGTCTGAGAACTGAGTTGTTCTGGCAAGCGGTTAACAGCAGCCTCACCATGTGTGGCAACGAGGGGGTCCTCGTGCTGGTGTCCTGAGTTGCCCAGCTCCCCCTAAGGGCCCAGGGCTGAAGGGGAGGTTTTCCTTGGGAAGGGGATGGCTCTGGTTAGGGTGGCCCTTAGGCAAGGTGGTCTTGGGCCAAGGCAGGGCTGTTGACAGGAACCCGGCTTCATTGGGACATGGCTGATCCCCAAGCTGGGGGCTCTGGCGAGCTGTTAGCCGTGACTCTCAGGCTTGTCCAGGCTTTAGTTCTATGGGGTTTCCTCTGGCCTGGCAGAGATAGGGGGTGTGGGGGGGCAGCCCCCTGAGGGGTGGCTCTGACCTCTGTCCTGCCGCCCAGCTTCAGCTCCCACGATGGGCAAAGTTAGGTCCTGGCAGCCCTGCCAGCAGGCACCGGGCCCCTCCCTCCCTCTCCGGAGGTAAGTGGGTCCCCACAACGGAAGGAAGGAGGCAGGGAAAGCAAACAGGAGATAAAAGGCGGGTGGTAGGGAGAGAACAGGAGGCGGAGGCTGGGGGGAATGGTGCTTATCTCGGCTTGGTGGAGGAATGTGCCGGCATATGATTCCCCAGGGTGTGTATAAAAGGGGCAGGGTACTGGCAGCAGTTGGCCATGGGCACAGGCCCCCACTTCTGTGAGAGGCACCAGGGCCTGAGTTATCAGCTCCCCTCTTTTATGGGGTCAGTAACTTGCAGGTTCCCACTCATAGCCTGTCAGGTGGAGACAAAGTCCAGGCTCCGTGTCCTCAGGCTGGGGTGACAAGCCAAGGTCACCGGCTGGGCCTGGCTTGGGGAGGTGACTGGCCTCAGGTGAATTGCCTTCATGACCTCTTGACCCCACGACCTCGCCACCACCAGCCAGGGAGGTGGCTGGGCCTGGGAAGAGGGGCTCTGCCGGGGGCTGGACTTGCGTCACACCAGAGGGCGTCTGTCCCTGAGTCACCCCAAGCTGCCACCTTAGGGGTGGACATCGGGAACTGGAAGAACTGGGGTGCAGCCCTGGGTGCAGCCGCAGTGCCCCGGTTCCCTTACTCAGAGTGGCCTGGGCCTGCCAGGCAACTGGGGCCAGGAAAGTCTCCCCAGGTGTGCCAAAGCCAGGCTTTTGTGCCAGGCAGGTGGGCGTCCTGGTGCACTGTGCCCACGAGGTCCCCTTGGGCACTGGGACACTGCTCGCTCTGGCCCTGGAACATATGTTTAATGTGCATATGGTAGGTTTTGCCATTTATTCATTCATTCAACAAACATTTGCTGGGCACTTACTATATGCCAGATTCTGTGCTGGGCCATGGGACCCAGAGGAATTGGACTCCATTCCTGCACTCCTGTAGTCTCATAGAGAAGCCTAATACGTGCAGAAATAATTTCAAATGGAGCATGAAAGCCAGCCTGTGAGCTTCACCAGAGCAGAAACGGTGTTTATCTGTTTCACCATCATATCCCTAGCACCCAGAATTGTGCCAAGCATGTAGGAAGTGCTCAATTTCTATTTGGTAAACATAAGACTGAGTAATAGATGCCCTAAGAGAAACAGGGGGGCCAGGAATTGGCAGTCTGGGAAGGTCTTGTAGAGGAGCTTAAGCTGGGTATTGAAGAATGCATAGGAGTTTGCTGGGTAGCTAAGGGGGCAAGTGGCTGTTTGGTGTGTGTGTGGCCCCTCCTCCCCATTTGCCTGCCCAGAATGGAAATCTGACTAGATAAAATCAGGAAGATACAGGGGTTTGCTGGTGTCCTATGCAGTAACTTTGGGACCCCTGGACCATGGTACACTCTAGTGGGACCCCAGGGACCAGCCCCATGTCATTCTGTGGTAGGAGGAGGGGGCAGCACATTCTTGTCAGGCAAGCACATGCCCTGTTGATGCTGCCTCTTCACTGTATTATCTGGCACATCCGCAGCGGAAATCTCTCCAAATTCCTTCTTTCCTGCCGGCAGCAGGCGGGCCACCCCCGGGCTCTGGGGCCAAAGAATGGAACCTGTCTCTTCCCCCACTTCCTCCTCCTGGCATAGGGTGGGGAGCTTGGGAGAGACCACGCAGTGGGGAGTGGGAGGTGGCTTCGTGGAGGGTAGTTGGTATCTGAAGCTTTCAGTGGAATGAATGAGCCCGAGCCTGGGCTGTGAAGGTGTGACTGGTTCCAGGGGCTGGGACCTGCTTCCCCAGAGTACCCCAACTCTGTGGGCACTTAACCAGGGCACAGACAGGCCCCTGGGTAGACAAGTCAGGGCATCTAGGAGAACCAAACTCTCGGAATAAACGCAGCCTGGCTTTCTGGAGTCTCATTTTTGCTTGAAGATTTGGGGGAGGAGAGAGCTATTTTTGTACTGTAACAGATATGTAGAGGAATGCAAAAGACACATGGATTTCTTAGATACAGTAGGAGGCTTGAAAGACATTTAGGGTTTGAGGAAGACAGCTCTGGCTGCCCCAACCTCCCTGGGTTAGTTTCTGTTCTTTTCTCCCCAGAGGATGCAGATGGCAGATGTTCCCTATTTGAGAAGACCTGTGTGAGGGAGTCACACACACACACATAGTCCCAGATTTTCTGGCTGTTGAAGGGGGTTAGGACTTACTGTCCTTCTCTTCAGGCTTGTTTCAGAATATCGATTTCTCTTGCCTCCAAATTGAGGTGTTCCTGGGAACAGAAGTGACAAAGGAGGGAGGCTCAGAGTTGGGCATCCTAAAAACCTGGGTTTAAGTTTGGATTTCATGTCTGTGTAGCCTGGAGACCCTGGATGAGTTGTTCTCCCTCTCTGAGTGTCAGTTTCCTCCCCTCCAAAATGGAATTGATGAAGGTCCCTGGGTGGTGCAAATGGTTTGTGCTCAGCTGATAACCAAAAAGGTTGGCCGTTCAAACCCACACAGCAGCCCCATGAAAGAATGGCCTGGCGATCTGCTTCTGTAAAGATTACAGCCAAGAAAAACTTCTGGAGCAGTTCTGCTTTATAATACATGGGGTCTCCTAAGTCACAAATCAAAAACAAAATCAATAACAAAATGGAATTACTGATATCAGAGCCCATGTCCAACAGGTTTATTGTGAGGGCTAAATGGATATAAAGGAGCTGCACACAGTAGGTGCTGGACCCAGGGTCATGGTTGATGATTCGGACTCTGAGCTCCGGCCACTGCAGGAGTTGGGTCCAGGACCACCTGTCCAGCTAGGTGGCCCTGAGCCAGCCCCCTCTCATGGTATGTGTGCCCCAGCCCTTTCAGTGCTGTGCTGAGGTTCTGGTGGGGCAGGACAGAGGAGGGGGTGGGAGATGCTACTTGTGTGGCCCCTGGGCCAGGGCGGGGAGGGGGCTGGGCTGCCTGAGGGGTGGCAAAGGGCAGGGACAGAGCCTGATTCTGAACAGTCATTAACAGGAGCTGGGTGTCCTCTGGAGTCCTGTCCCCCTGATTCCCAGTCCCCCTTCCCACCTCTGCTCACACAGGGGACTGGGCATGGAGGGGATTAACAGTGTATATCTGGGTGTATATGAGGGACTGCACCATTATTCCCTACTTTAAGCCTTCGCTGGCTCTCCATTGCCCCTTAGGATAAGGTCTTGGCTCCTTGGCCTAGCATTTGAAGCCTTTCTTAATCTGGCGTTTAGAGACCTCTCAACCTTGTTGCCTGCTGCTCACAGTTTCTGTATTAGCTGCGCTCTTTCTCACCCCTAACTCCCTCTTCCAGTAATTCTGCCCTGCCAAACTCCTACTTAGCTTCTAAACCCCAGCTGAAATATCCCCTCTTTGACTCCCCAGGCACCTGGTCAAGATAGTCCTCTTTCACTTCCTTAGCCCTTTGCCCACCCCTTTCTTGTAGACATTGCCACATGCTACTTAGCCCTCTGCTCCCTGAGTTCAGGGGCTTTGTCTGTCTCGTCTCAGAGTCCAGGCGCAGCCTGGGGCTGGGGACAGAAGAGGCTTAGTGAGTGATGAACTGAGTTAGAGGCGTCTGAAGACCTTCTCCATAGCCTTGTGACTGGGCTTCCTCTCAGGGAATAAGCTAAAGGGAGTCACCCTACTCTGGCCACTTAGCAGCTGCCCAAGCCCTGGGCAGCCCTGGATAGCCCTGCACAGGGGGCCCCATGTCTGGACATCTTCCTGCCTGTGGAGCCTGGAAGGGGTTAGGGGCAGGAGCAGGATAGGGTGGTGTGAGGAAGAAGCCTCCAGAGTCAGGTGCCTGAGCACCCAGCCAGCCGGGCCAGGATAGAACCTGCTACCAGGGGAGGAAGAGCTGCTTCCTGGCTGCCCTTGTGAGGGGCGGAAATGACTCAGCCTGGAAGTAGATCCAGAGAAAATGCAAGGTGGACTGGCCTTTCCTGTCTCCTGTTCGGCCAGCCCTGGAACGGAAGATGGTCAGGTCCTGGGTGGGGGATGAGATGGGGAAAGAGCCAAGAGAGCACCTGTAGGGGTGGTGTTCTGAGCTGGTGTGCTGGCTGATCAGGCAGGGGGTGTGATAGTCAACAGACACAGTGAAGAGGATGAAGTCATTGACCCCAGCAGCTCACAGCCCAGGCAGGGCCCTGCTGGGCAGGGAGAGGGGACAGGCAGGGAGCAGGCTGCGCCAGGCACACAGTGGGGTTCTTCAGAGCTGAAAGGGGAGATGTGGTCTGGAATGCCAGGCTCAATGGCATGGCACTTCTGTCGAGAGCCAGTGGGGAGTGATGGGAAGGTTTGGAGCTCCTGGGTGAGGCGCGTCCTGAGTGCCTGGTGAGTGCTAGGTGCTTGTGGTACATTTTGTCGTCACAACCAGATATTTCCCAATGAGAAAGCAAACCCATAGGGGTTTAGTGACTTGCCTGGGGTCCCAAGGTGCATGAGTGAAAAAATTGCTTGGGGTGGGAACAGATTTGACTGATATCCTTGTGTCCCCTCTGTCCCTGTGCCCACCAGCCTGCTTGCCTGGATTCTTCAAGTCCGAGGTATCTGAGAGCTCCTGCCTGGAGTGCCCTGCACACACACTGCCCTCCCTCGAGGGCGCCACCTCCTGCGAGTGTGAGGAGGGCTTCTTCCGGGCTCCGCACGACCCACTGGCCGAGCCCTGCACACGTGAGTCTTGAGAGGGCCTGGGAGGGTGGCTGAGGAGGGCTTGGGGCGGGGATTGATGCGGCCAGAGCTACCTGTGCCCAGCTGGGCAATGACCATGCCCCAACCTCTGCCTTCCGTGCAGGCCCGCCCTCCGCCCCACACTACGTCACAGCTGTGGGCATGGGCGCCAAAGTGGAGCTGCGCTGGACGCCTCCCGAGGACAGCGGGGGCCGTGAGGATGTCGTCTACAGTGTCACCTGCGAGCAGTGCTGGCCCGAGTCGGGCGAGTGCGGGCCCTGCGAGGACAGTGTGCGCTACTCGGAGCCGCCACATGAGCTGACCCGCACCAGCCTGACGGTCAGTGACCTGGAGCCCCACATGAACTACACTTTCTCCATTGAGGCCCGCAATGGCGTCTCAGGGCTGGTGGCCAGCCGCAGCGTCCGCACCGCCAGTGTCAGCATCAACCAGACAGGTAAGGGCCAGGGGCAGTGGCCATGCCCTATGGGGCCTGCTCAGGTAGGCGGCCACCCAGAGCTGCAGCTCAGCTGTGTTCAGAGAGAGGTAGGAGAACAAGTGGTTAAAGGCACAGACTCTGGAGCCAGGTGTATATGCTGACTTTGCTATTTGGGGCTGTATGGCCATAGGCAAGTTACTTAGCCTATCTGGACCTTGGTTTCCTCACCTGGAAATGGGGATAATAATAGAGATGTTGTCCTCCTAGTTCATTGCATAGTGCTTGGGGTCTTAAAAGCCTGCAAGTGGCCATCCAAGGCACAACAATTGCTCTCTATTTGCCTGGAACAGGAGAGGAGGGAGAGTCAGGAATAGGAGGAGGATATAGAATGTGTGGTCGGTTGCCTCCATGAACAACTGCCTCCTTTGTCATGAGACCAGAAGAACTGGATGGTGCCCGGCTACCATTACTGAACACTTTTATAAAAGATTCCATAAAAGAATCCTGATCAAAAGGGGGGAAATGCAGAATAGAATTTCAAATTCTCATGGACTCCAGAATTTCTGAGCCAAGGGGGCTGGATGAACCCCTGAAACTATGTCTTTGAGATAATCTTTAAACTTTAAACCAAAAATATCCCCTGAGGTCCTCTTAAAACCAAATAATAGTTTAGCTTAAGTAATTAAAAATGTCTGCCTTGGACATTATACTCTTTTAAGAACTATCTATATGGGATCAAAGTGACAAGGGCAACTCACAAGATTAGATAGGAACCTTAGGGGGCAGTGAGTTTATGTTAATGGGGGAAGAACAACTCAGAAAAGGAGGATGTCCCTGAAATGTACATACAGAAATGGTTGAATTGATGTATGTTTTTCTGTGTATATTAACAACAACAACAGAAGACCTAAAAAATAATAATAGGGTTGTTGAGAGGATTTAATAAATTATTACATGTAGGCTCTTAGACCAGTGCCTGATATGTAGAAAGGTTTTAGCAAGCGTCAGATTATTTTATTTTTATTATTTTTGCATTCATTCATAGATACTCATCAGGCACTCTGATGTGCTAGTCCCTATGGTGGGGCTGGGGTGCTGGAGCTGGAAGTTAAGGATCCGAGGCTGGGATCTAAGGAGCCTGGCCCACGGGGTTGTGGGTGGGGCTGGGTCTGTGTCCATTGAAGGTGGCTTCTCACACCCTTCCCGTACCTGCTGTTCTGTACAGAGCCCCCCAAGGTGAGGCTGGAGGGCCGCAGCACCACCTCGCTGAGCGTCTCCTGGAGTCTCCCCCCGCGGCAGCAAAGCCGTGTGTGGAAGTACGAGGTCACCTACCGCAAGAAGGTAAACTCACTAAGGGTCGGGGCTTGCCCCAGCTGGTCCGGAAGCAGGGGGCAGGCTGGTCACACAGATGCTTGTCGCACCTCGCAGCTTGTCTGGGAAGCTCCGCTCTGCAGATGGGGAAACTGAGGTCTGGGCCTGCCCAGAGAGTCGCCTCTCCCTGGACAGCACAGCAAAGATTTCTAGGAGAGAAGACACAGTGTCCTGGAATTCTGGGAAGAGGCAGTAGGGACTGGGGGGAAAGAGCCAGGTCTTTAGGATCAGACAGCCCTGGCTGTGACCTTGAGCAAGCCACTTCACTCCTCTGAGCCTCAGTTTCCTCCTCTGTAAGAAGAGCATCCAGTTTGCTAACAGATGAATCACCTTGCTGAGCTGGGGGTGGTCTCTGAAGGGCTGAGCTGATGCCCTGCCCTCCCTCTTTGCCTGTTCTTCACCCGCCGGCGACCCACAGGGGGACTCCAACAGCTACAACGTGCGCCGCACCGAGGGCTTCTCCGTGATCCTGGACGACCTGGTTCCTGATACCACCTACCTGGTCCAGGTGCAGGCACTGACGCAGGAGGGCCAGGGTGCTGGCAGCAAGGTCCATGAATTCCAGACGCTGTGTGAGTAGGGAGCCAGGCTGTGGGCCAGGCCAGGGCCCTAAAATGGAACAGTTGGGACATATGGGGAGGAGGGGGTGGATCAGAGCACTTGGGAATGCCCCCTTCTTGTATGATAGAACCTTCTGGGGTGATGGTAGTGTTCTAATCCTATTAGCAGTTTGGAGTACATAGATGTATACACTTGTCAGACTGGATCAAATGGTACCCTTAAGATTTGTGCATTTTAGTCTAAGTTTTACCTTAAAAAAATCCACAAACAAATATTGAATTTTCATAAATTATATGAATGCTGAAATGTTTATGGGTGAAGTAAAAAAAAAGAAATGTCCTCCTTCACATCAGCCAGAGCCTGGGACAGCTCTGTGTATGCTGGCCCCAAGTCTGGGCTGGGGCAGAACTGGGGACCTAGGGAGTTGGAAGGCCAAGGATGTGGGCTCAGGGCAGTGTGGTGAGAAGGAAGGACATGCACTCTGGCATTGGCTAACTCAAGTTCAAATCCCAACACCATGGAGAGCCAGAGCTTAGAGTCCCACACACCTGGGAATACCTACTGTGAAACCTTAGGGAAGCCACTTCTTTGGGCCTCTTATTTATTCATCTGTGAAATGGGAATAATTACCCTCCCCTACCTGGGATTCATGAGCCATCACAGATAAAAGCAGCCAGCACATAGTAGATGCCCAAGTGTCTTGGTCCCTAAAGTGGGCCTTGGCTGCAGCAGGGGTGGCTATGATTTGGGGTGTGCAGGCTCCCTTGTCATCAGCTGGTCTCCCTCAACAGCCACGGAAGGATCTGGCAACATGACGGTGATTGGCGGTGTGATCGTCGGTGTTGTCTTGCTTCTGGTGCTGATTGGAATCGGCATCTTCCTCCACCGCAGGTTCGTCAGAGCCCATGTCCCAGCTCCCCAAGGGCTTAGGTGGGACACAGAGTGACAGGAACCTCCAACAGCTACAACCAGTTTGCTCATCTGGAAAATGGGGCTTATAGTAATCTACTCTCTGCCTCCCAGTGGCGTGAGGATGTAATGAGCTGTAAAGTACTTAGCACAGTGCCTGGCACATGGTGGGGCCCAGGACATGGCAGTCATTATCTCTACTGTTGTTCTGAACGGCGTGTCTGCACTTCGTCTGTACACTCAGGCAGGAAGCGCTGGGAAGCATGAATGAGGGAAGCCTTCATTACAGCTATGTACAGGGACCATTATGGGGTGGAGAACGTGAGGAGTGAGCCTCGCGCTTGCTCATTTTCTCTCCGCCTCCCTCTGCCCTCTCTGTGTTCTCTGCTCCCATGATGGGGTCTGAGCAGAAGGCTGAGCCCACTGGGCCCCCTTGGGACAGAGTGGGGCACAAGTGACTCCCCTAGCCAGAGCAGGCCTCACTGACCTCCCTGTGTGTTTGTCCCTGTGGGGTCTTTCCAGGAGGAGGAATCTGCGAGCCCACCATTCCTCAGAGGACGTGTACTTCTCCAAGTCAGGTGAGATGAAGTCCTCATCCACACTTAGCCTGGTCCCCGCCATCCTCACCACCTTCCCAGCTCTGTGGCGGAGGTGGGGGTAGCAGGCCATTCCAGGGCCCTGGGGGTGGGCCCGGAGGCTTCCTCGGGTAGCTTTAAGGGGCTGAGCTGGAAGCTGTGTACCTCATGGCCTAGTCCAAGTCTCCAGAGGTCCCTGGTGATATTGGCTCCTCCCTCCCTAGGGCAACCCCTCACAGGGGACCCTCCTCCCTGAGCTACCTGTGACCCCACCTCTTCTCCCTCCTTCCAGAACAACTGAAGCCCCTGAAGACATACGTGGACCCCCACACATATGAGGATCCCAATCAGGCTGTGCTCAAGTTCACCACCGAGATCCATCCATCCTGTGTCACACGGCAGAAGGTGATCGGAGCAGGTGAGGTTGGCTTGCTCTGCCGAGGGCCTGAGGAAATGGGTGGCAGGCAGTGTGGGTTGGGAGGGTCGCTGACAGTGGGCTGACTGGGGCACCTGTCCCCCGCATGCCTGCCTGCAGGAGAGTTTGGGGAGGTATACAAGGGGATGCTGAAGACATCGGGGAAGAAGGAGGTGCCTGTGGCCATCAAGACGCTGAAAGCTGGCTACACAGAGAAGCAGCGCGTGGATTTCCTCAGTGAGGCTAGCATCATGGGCCAGTTCAGCCACCACAACATCATCCGCCTGGAGGGTGTCATCTCCAAATGTGAGCTTGGGCCAGAGATGGGCTGGGAGAGCCTCAGGGGCCTCACCCACAGGACAGGGTGCAGAGAGCTGCCCACAGGTCACCAGACAGGGTGCTGTCTATAGCTGTGCCCACACCCACACATGTGCCCACCTCTCCCCACACCTATGCCCACACCCACACCCACATGTGTGCCCACCTCCCTCCACATGTATGCCCACCTCCCTCCACACATGTGCCCGCCTCCCTCCACACCTGTGCCCACCTCCTCCCCACACCTGTGCCCACCTCTCCCCACATGCCTGTGTTCATGTACCCCCCCCACCTGTGCCCTCCTCAACCCTGGCCATCCTTACACCTGTGCCCACCCCCTACAGACAAGCCCATGATGATCATCACTGAGTACATGGAGAATGGGGCTCTGGACAAGTTTCTTCGGGTAAGCACGTGGGCTGGGGTGGGCCGGCACAGGGGCCGGCACACTCGGGGGGTGCCCGGTAGGCCCGGGCCGGCCGTCACTGAGGGCCTGTGCTTTGGCAGGAGAAGGACGGCGAGTTCTCCGTGCTCCAGCTGGTAGGCATGTTGCGGGGCATCGCAGCCGGCATGAAGTATCTGGCCAACATGAACTATGTACACCGTGACCTGGCTGCTCGCAACATCCTTGTCAACAGCAACCTGGTCTGCAAGGTGTCTGACTTTGGCCTGTCCCGCGTGCTGGAGGATGACCCTGAGGCCACCTACACCACTAGCGTGAGTGGGGGCCTGACACTACTGGAGGGTGGGAGCCACGAAGGACCCGAAGCCTGAAGGGGTGAAGCAGCCTTTGTCCCACTCCAGGGTCCTCTCCCCTGCATACCTGAGGCATGGACCTCAGAGGCGAGAACACCTCTGGGGAACATAGAGGAGGGGCCCTGAGGTTCTGGGGCTGGCCCGGAGGGGACAGTGGTGACTGGGTCGGGGTCCCCTGCAGGGAGGCAAGATCCCAATCCGCTGGACAGCCCCGGAGGCCATTTCCTACCGCAAGTTCACCTCGGCCAGCGACGTGTGGAGCTATGGCATTGTCATGTGGGAGGTGATGACTTATGGCGAGCGGCCCTACTGGGAGCTGTCAAACCACGAGGTAGGGACACCTGCCTGCCCAGGTCTGCTCTGGACCTGAACTTAAACCCTTTACTCGTTACGGAACCCCAAGTGGGCAGAGAAGAGGCCTGGGGGCTAGTCTTCATCTGGTACAGACCATTCATTACTTCATTCAGTTAATGTTTATTGAGGGCCTACTATGTGCCAGGTTTACAGTAGGTTCCGGGGACCTAGTCCCTGCTTACAGTCCAGAGAGTGAAACCACAAGGAAGCAAGTAGTGGGGTGCATGTGTGTGTGTGTCCATGTGTATGTGTGTGCCCATGTGAGTGCATTTGTATGCAAGTGTGAATTCTTACATGTGCATATGCATGTGTGCGTGTGCACACGTGTGTGTTCATTTGTATGTGAGTATGTGTCCATTCGTGTGCATGCATGAGTGTGCGTGTGTGTGTGCATATGTGCACATGTGCCTGGCGCCGCATCTAGCCTGGGTGCCTGGAAGGCTTCCCAGAGGAGGTGCTGTATCTGCTGAGACCAAGGGCAGAGTAGCCATCAAGGTGGAGAGGAGGAATGGGAGACATGCTCTAGCCAAAGGCAGCTGCATGTAGGGAAGTCTAGAGACTGGAGGGAGGCTGTGTTGCAGGGCGCACAGTGTGGCTGTCGCCTGGGGTACCCTGTGAGGGAGCAGGGTCAGGAGTCCCTTTCTCCTTAGAACTCTGGAAACTGTCCCTTAGCACTTGCCCCCTTCGTACAGCTCTGAAGGTTGTGTGTTGGGTTCAAGAAGGAGACCCATTCCATCTGTTTCTGGACTCCCCTTCCCCTCCCCTTCCCACTTCCATGTACTGGGCCCCCAAGGGGGCCTGCATGGGTTTGGAGGCTGTGAGGGCTGCCCCAGATCTCTGTGGCTGCCTCTTGTGACCCCTGTGACCGTCCCACTCCTCTAGGTGATGAAAGCCATCAACGACGGCTTCCGGCTCCCCACGCCCATGGACTGCCCATCCGCCATCTACCAGCTCATGATGCAGTGCTGGCAGCAGGAGCGTGCCCGCCGCCCCAAGTTCACTGACATCGTCAGCATCCTCGACAAGCTCATCCGAGCTCCCGACTCCCTCAAGACGCTGGCTGACTTCGACCCCCGGTGAGTTCCATGCTGCCTGCCTGGGATGGTCCCAGCTTCACTCCCACAGGCTCCTGTGCCTCTTCAGGATGGTGACCTCTCAGGGGGAGATGAAGAAGTTACACATGGGCTTTCCTTAGACTGGACAGGGGGTGCCAATGTAATACTAACAGAAGCAAGCAACATCTGTGTAAATGTCCCAGCACCGCACTCAGCCCTTAACGTGTTTTAACTCCCTGAGACAACCTATGAGATGGTCCCATAATTATCCTCATTTTGCAGATGAGGAAACCGAGACACAGGATGATTAAGTATTTCACACGGCTGGCAAGTGGCCAGGCTGGATTGTGCATCCAACAACCTGAACCCCTGCTCTTAACATTTTGCTCTTCTGTAGTTATGGGCAGTGGTATTATTAGCAGGCACAGAGGTGGCAGTAATAGTTATAAAAGTTCCTCTAATACTCCAATGTCCCAGGATGTCTCACTTAACCATACCTGACTTTGCTCTCCAGTGTCCAGGTGAGGGAACTGAGGCATGGGGCAGCTGGATGAATTGAAGGTCAGGGAGCAGCAGGCATGGGGCCCAGGGTGGGCTGGCTGCTGCAGCCCCCTTCACTTGCAGGCTGGCTGCTGTTACAGGGTGTCCATCCGGCTGCCCAGCACCAGTGGCTCTGACGGGGTGCCCTTCCGCACCGTGTCCGAATGGCTCGAATCCATCAAAATGCAGCAGTACACGGAGCACTTCATGACAGCCGGCTACACTGCCATCGAGAAGGTGGTGCAGATGACCAACGAGTGAGTCAGCCCAGCCCTGTGCCCACCCACCCCACCTGCCTCCCACCCGTAACCCTCCGAGGCTACCTCGCGCTCACCATCCGCTCTTCTCTCCACCCTCCCAACACTCCCCTCTACTCTTTCTCTCTCCTTCTCTTTTGTGGGGAGAGGCTCGGTGGGAAGGGTAGGAACCAGACCTGTAGCCAGCATTTCTGGGCACCCGCTCTCAGCACCCTCCTCTACCCGTGTCTTTTTCCAGAATAGGAGAATAATAGTAATTATAATAATAACAGTCACTACCATTTGTTGAGGGCTGACTACGTGCCTCTGTGCTGGAGCACTTTGAATCAGCCCTCATGATGTGGGTGGGTCCTGTCGATACCCTGACTGGACAGGTGAGAAACAGATGCAGAGAGGTGTGGTGACGTGCCCAGGGTCCCACAGCAACTAGGGCGAGAGGAAGATTCCAGCCCTGGTCAGCAGGCACCAGAGGTCTGGGACCTTAGTGCTCATCGGTGGAGAAACTGAGGCTCAGAAAGGTTCTATGGCCTACTTCATGTCACACGGTTGGAAGGAATCATCACCTGATTGAATTTCCTATTAGCCTTGTGAACAGGTGCAGTTATTCTTTCTCCATTTAACAAATGGGAAACTGAGGCAGAGAGGACTTACATGGCTTGCCTGAGGTCACATAGCCAGTTAGGGGCAGTGTTCCTCTCCAGGATGCTAAGGAGAAATGGGCAAAGCCCTGGGACCTCCTGGCTGCTGCCCGGGAGAGACAACCCTGGACCAAACTGCCCCCCACCCCCCAGCACCTCTCCCTATGTGTCGACTCTCAGCCCCATGCTCTGTCCTGGCCAGAAGTGCCGCTCACCCCCTGCCGGCCCTGGGCTTGGCCCTTTGTCGGGCTGTCCCCTGGGAGCACGTCTCTGCTCTCCAGCTCCAGCATGGGGACCTTTCCCGGCACAGCCTTCGTGTAGACACCTCCTCCTGTCCCAAGAGGGAGAAGACATTATCCTCTTAGCCTTTTGTGCCTCTAAAAATAGTGGTGGGTCCCAACAGCCCGGCTTGTGCAGGGTCCAAGGTCATGGCAGGAATGAGCCCTGCGGCCAGGAGGTTTTGGGAACTACATGGAAGGGCAGGCCGGATGCCCCACAGTTCTGGGTTACAAAAGTTCTGGAATTTGCCTCGGTACATGATTATTTTCTGGGGCCTCTGGAAACTGCCCAGGCTTCTGACCTACTGGCCAAGGCGTCTGGGACCAGGCCATGGCCCACCCCAGGGGACAGCCGAGGATGGGAATTAGGCAGGGGACAGAGTGACCAGAGGGAGGCGTGGATGTGGGGTGGCGTGGGGTGGGGTGTGCACTGAGCGGAGGAGACAGGGCCCAGGATCTCTTGTTGCCAGCCAGTTGCAGTCACACTTGGGTTCAAGTTCACATCTGCCACTTCCTGGCAGGTGACTTTGATCAAATCAGCTTCCCTCTTTGGGTTTTTTTTTTACCTGGGTGCACTGCAGATGGCACACCTGGTACATAGTAGGGGCATAGTCCATGGCACTCTCCTCTTTTCCTCCACTCCCCTGCTTTCTGCCCACCATCAGTGGGCAAATGCCAGCATCCCTGGCCCCTTTCTTTTCCCTGGGAACCTGGAACAGTACTCTTCAACCCTGTACGGGCTCCCACTGGGTCAACACAGCTTCTCTTCTGGGTGACCAGAGGTGAGGGCAGGGAGAAGCACTTTCAGGAAACACATGTTCTTAGAAGCTTCCCGAAATAGCCCGGGGTGCTCCTCGGCCAATTCCTTTCCCACGAGCAGGGATGGGGCTATCTTGGATCGATGGAGGCTGTATGTGTGCGTGTGTGTTTTGTTTTGAGAAGGCCTGGATAAATGCAGGAAGTCATTCATCGCTCCCTTCTCCTCCCACTGGCCTGTTGGTTCTCAGAGCCGGGGCCTGAGTGACTCACAGCTACCCCTGCCTCCTCCTTCACCTCCGACTCTTTCCAAATAAGTGGGGAATCTCAAAGCACTTTTGACAGCTGAAGGCTATGTCTACACATGCCTTGGATCCCAATGGGTGGCTCTGAGGTAGTCTCAGAATAATGCACCTCCTTTCCCAGAGATGTCTGCATTAAGCAGTGATTTAGGCTCCAACATCCTACACCTTGTTCTTCTGCCTCCTTGGGGCCAGCCACTTGCTCCCCTGTAGACCCACAGCCGCCATCTTGATCTCAGTTTGAGTGTTCATCATGCAGTTTTGGAGTCGGTTGGGTTTCCAGCTAGACTAGTGGTTCTAACCATTTTTTTTGAGGAGCCAATGAAAATGGTGCGTATTGCACCCCAGACAAATGCCCCACCCAGCAGTAGGGCCTGAGCAGCATCCTCTGAGGGTGTTGAGGGCACAGGCTAACAGATACTACGGTCTTCACATGCCCTCAGCACAGGCTGGTGCTGAGGGAGTGTTTGCTGGCTGAGTGAATGAGCAGATGCATGAGGTTCCAGGAGCCATTTCTCACTCTCCTTGTACCCAGGGCCAACACACAGTAGGTGCCCACTGTATACATGTAGCTTTGAATTTCCCAGGGCCAGGGCTGGGATTGTGCCTGCTCAGGAGAAAGAGCAGGCAGTGTAAAGGCGGCCTCACTCCTCTGAGGGGAGTTGATGGAGGTGACCACCCTGGTCCCTGAAGGGGAAACAGGCTGGGGCAAGAACAAATTTGGGATGGTCTGCAGTAGCTCCCAGGTGTTTGACCCTCATCCCAGTCTGCTGCTGTTTGTGGTTAGGAAATGAAATAGAGAAAGGAGGGAAAAGCTTTGTGTTGAAAGAGGAGGGGGCTGGGCCAGGCTGCTCAGGGGCATATAATTAAAGCCTCCCATTTTACATATGAAGAAACAGGCCGAAAGACAGACTTCTTGTTGTGTACCAGGGAGTCAATTCAGCTCATCGGGACCCCAAGTGACAGAGCAGAACTGCCCCATAGGGTTTTCTAGGCTGTAATCTTTATGGGAGCTGATAACCAGGTCTTTTCTCGCTCTGAGCTACTGTGTGGCTTTGGACTGCCAACCTCCCGGTGAGCAGCTGAGTGCTTAGCCATTACACCACCAGGGCCCCTAAAGACAGACTAGACCTGCCTAAAGCCTTGATGTGAGTCCAGGGCAGAGCTAGGACTAGAATTCGACCTCCTGCCTCCCATCCTAGGACTTTGGCCTTCCACATAGGACTTGGAAGCCGCCTTAGTTCCCATTGTATCAGATTAACCGCACCAGTCTGGGAGAAGCGTGGCTTAGTCCCCACTAAAGTATTCATTCATTCATTCACTAGATCCTCCCTGAGGGCCTACTGTATTCCAGGCCCATCCTGGATCACCGTGGTGTGGGGGTAGGGGATGGTTCTGAAGAGGTGAGACCTCAGCCCTTGGCGTCATGGAACTCACATAGCCACTGGTTCTTAAACCGTACGCCAGAATCTTCTGAGGCCTGATGAAAATGCAGGCTCTGTTCCACCTTCAGAAATTCACATTTAGTGCTTCTGAGATTGGGCCCAGGATGCTGCTTTTTCAGTAAGAGCCCTCTTCCCTGGTGGTCGGAATGGTTGTCTGGGAGCCACACTTTGAGACCTACAGGTGTGGGGAAAACACCTCTTTTTTCAATACCTCCAACTGTGGGAGGTAGGTTAGGAAGTTCCTCCAAATATCTGACCCCTGGTCTTCCTGCTGCAGGAAGCCACCTGGCCTCCTGGAGGTCCCTGAGCCCATCCTCCCCACGCACCTGGGTCTGCCCTTCCCAGCTCAGCACTACTCTGGAGGCTCCCCAGCCTGTGGGAAAGTCATGTCTCTGGAATTGCAAATAGGAGCTTGCACCATACAATTAGCCTGGTTTACAGCCAGAAGAAGGCCCATAAAAACCTGGGTGTTTTCATGGGTTTGAGCTGGCGGGTGAGGACAGCAGAGGAGAAAATTCCCAAAGTGGGCAATAAATGTCCTGCTCTCGGGCTCCTGGGAGCATAAGTGGTATTATGAGGGGATGAGGGGCATGGAAAGGGGGAGACCAGGGGAGCCTGCACCTCTTGGGAGGTGGGGGAGGAAGGGCCATGGACTCCTGGGCACATCTTTGCATCTGGTCCTGATGCTGCCTTCCCCCTCTAAAGCTGGGGGCGCCCACCCTCTAGTTGGGCAGGATTATCCCATTTTACAGGTGAGGAAATTGAGATTCCCTTAAAGCAAGAAACTTGCCTCAGGTGATCCAGTCACCAAATCTGGTGACTGGAAGCCCCTCCCATTAGAGACCAGCAGAGCTTAGCAAGGGTTTCCTGAGTCCTTCCTCAGTTACTGGTAGTGAAAACTTGGAGCGGGTGAGGGTGAAATAAGGTGATGGCCAGGAGAGACCTTGAGCAACAACCCTAGGGAGTCTCGGGCTTCCAGGCACCTGGTGACAGCATGAGTGCCACCTGGGGAGGTGGCCTCAGTGGGGGGCATTAGGGACAGACCCTCTTGGGGGTAGGAGACATTTGATCACAGCTGGTTTGATTTCCACCTCTTGGCTGCATGACCTTGGGCAAGTCACTTTACCTCTCTGAGCCTCAGTTTTCAAATCTGCAAAATGGGAGTGAAAACAGCACCCACCTTATGAGATTATTGTGAAGCTCTGATAAAAAAGCTTCTTGCAGAGTCGATGGGTCTATAATTTTCCTAACTTTGTTGATGGTGGGGCTTCTTAGCAAGCTGCTGGGAAGTGGATCCTCCTCTGAGGCCTCAGCCTAACTGGATCTGTCTCATCTGCAGGTCCCCAAGGCCCCCTCTCTGTCCCCCTCCTCTCCCCACCTCTGCCTCCCTCCCACAGCTGTCCACCACCCCCTCTCCGACCCAGCCTCTTACCTGCTCTGGCCCTAATTCTGCCTCTCTCCCTCAATGCCCACAGCGACATCAAGAGGATCGGGGTGCGGCTACCTGGCCACCAGAAACGCATCGCCTATAGCCTGCTAGGGCTCAAGGACCAGGTGAACACGGTGGGGATCCCCATCTGAGCCCCAACGGGGCCGCTTGCCCTCCCCGGCCAAGAATACTTGAAGAAACCGAGTGGCCTCCCTGCTGGCTCAGCGCTGGGCCACCAGAGAGCTTATTTATTCTAGTTGTTCCTTATGGACACCACTTTGAGGCCTTTGCTCAGGGGGAGGGCAGGCCTAGGATGACGCCCTGGCCCTATCTGAGGAGTCACTCAGGGATCCCCTGCCGGGACCTCTTGCCTTCAAAGGAAGCCAAGCACTTAGGAGGTACTGCCATGTTCCAGAACCTCTGGAGCAGGAGCCCTCCAAGGCCTTTGGACAAAACACGGAACATTTCCAAACTGACTTCTTCTTTGCCTTCTCCCATGAGACTGTTTTGGGAGATGAGGGGTTAGCCCTTGCCATGTGAACAGGGTACCTCATCACTCTTTATAAGAGGACAGAAGGCGAACTCTGCTTGGCATGAAGATCTCAAAAGGTCCCCCCACCCCCAACAAGTGCCTTCTTCAGACCCCCAGGCCCCATCCTCAGCCCCAAAGGGCCAAATCTTGCTTCCCAGGACCCTCACAGGATGCATGGTTGTGTTGAGGTTTTTTAAATATATATTTTGTACTTTGTGGAGAGAATGTTTGTGTGGCAAGGGGGTCCCTCCAGGCTGGGGCAGAGGACGGCCTGTGTCAGACATTCCCAGGGCTGGGGAGCTGGTGCCGGCAGGCTTTTCCTGCCTGTTCCCCAGTCCACCAACCTAACACCTTCTTAGATAACATTCACTACTTTGTCAGTGTTAATGATTTTGTTTTGTTGGGTATTTTTTTCAAACCTTAATTTATTATTAGCAAATGACTTATTTCTGCTCTGGAATAAAGGGGCAGATGGTTCAAACTGATCTTGACTTTGAGTCTTTGGAGCAGCAGTGGGGTCTAAGGGGCCTTCTTCTGTGCCAGGCGTGGCAGGGGGTGAAGGGCTCACTCCCACCTCGAGTGTTTAAACAGCTTCTTGTGCAATGTAGATGTGTCGTGTAACCCTGAGAGTGGGGGTGGATGGGGGGTGGGCAGGGTGCCCAGGGAGCAGGCCCCACCGAGCCCAGCCAACATGCCAGCAGGCCCCATCACCTTTGATCTAAAAGTGTCTGGAGAGGCTGGGAGGCAGGTGAGCAGTGAGAGCAGCCATCAGCTTCCCTCCCACACGTCTCCATGGAGCTGTTGAAATAGATTCTTTGACCATTTGTGTAGGGCTCTGAGGTTTACAAAAGCTTCTCATAGGTTTTGGCTTGTTGAAGCCTCAGCTCTGTTTTGAGTTTTATGGGCAGCTCCATTTTACAGAAGAGGAAAACTGAGGCTGGGCCCAAAGACTGGGCTTGTCCAAGTCCACACAGCAAGTTAGGGGCAGAGTCTAGAATTGAAAGCAGGGCTGGGAATCCCAGTTAAACTCTCTTCTCACAGATGAGGGGACTTAGGCTCAGAGATGTGCAGTGACTTGTTCAAAATTACACAGCAAGAAGTACCAGAGGCCTTCAAGGGAAGCCAGATCCCTAATTTCAAACCCAAGCATTCTCTGCTATACCAGGCTGCTGCCTGGCATGCAAGAGATTGTTCACAGTGGGGCTTAGGAAGGCTCATGGGCACCAGGGACACAACCAGGCAAGCAGAGAGATCTGGGGCACGGGTGGAAGGCTTCCTGGAAGAGGTGACCTCAGAGCTGAGACTCAGGGACAAGTAGGAATGATGCAGGCAGAGTAAGGTGTGGAGGTGTGAAGCTGTGTGGTTGTGCAAGGGAACCACAAACAGTTTGGTATGATTAGGGTGTGACATGGGTCTTGGAGAGGTCTCCACGGCCTTGTAAGGCAGGTCCAGGAGAGGGGATTTTAAGTTGAGGGCAATGGGGAGCCATTAAAGGTTTTAAGCAGGGTGTGGCGTGATTACTATGCTCCAAACAAAAGTCACTGGTAGAGGCAAGCCCAGCACTCAGACTTCCTGACTCTCGGCCCTGAGCTGTAGGGAGACAGGAGAAACGCTGGCAGCACTGGAGGAGTGCTCAGCCAGCCCTGGGGTCTCAGGGCTGGTCTGCCCTGACTCCCTGCTGCTATAGGACAGCTGCCTCCAGGGGGAGCCAGCTCTGGGTCCTGGCCCACCCAGCATCAGTGAAGCCTGCCAGTGTTGAGTGGGGCTGGGTTTGGGTGACACAAGGGAGTGGAGGGACCAGCTGGCTGAGACTTCCTCCCGTTAGCAATGGGCTGCCTGGTGTGCTGGGCTATGGTGGCTGAGCTAGGCCTTCCTGGTACCTGACCCCTACCTGGCCTGGCCCAGGTGGCTGCCATGGTTCTGTGGCTGAGCTATGGCTACCGCCACCGCCACTGACAAAGCTGTCAGTACAGAAGGGAGTGAGGCTGCAGCTTTCAAAACTCACAGAAATCTTAGCTGCAAGATCACGTCGAGGCCAGACCTGAGCCCCATTCTCAGTGGCTCAGCCACCAGACACCCACTGAAGCAGGACTGACTGGATACAGAAGTGGCTCAGCATGGGTGAGGGAGTGGTCCTGATGTGTGCTTTCTCCCTCTGAGTCCTGATAGACACATATGGCCCTCCTAAGGGTACATAGGATGCACAGGTCTATGGGCCGGTGTGTAAAGGCCAGAGCCATGGTTGCAGCTGTCTGGAGCCTCCAACAGACCCCACAATTGGCAGGAGGGGAAGCTTTATTTCTAACTGAAAGCAAACTCAGATCTGTCCACTGAGAGAGCCTGGGAGCAGTGACATCCCAGTACCAATGAGCACACTTAGTGCCCAGATCTTGAGTCCTAAATACCACTCTCCAGTGAAAGCAACCACAGCTCCTTGGAGAAATAGCTGATTCTACTGCTGAGACAGGGAAAATGCAAAATGAGCTTGGAGCATCTTGTAGTGCTAGGAAGTAAGGAAGCGCTCAAAAAACAAATGGGGGCGTATCAAACAAACACAGGAGCCACCCTGAAAGAGCTCCCAGTGATCAAAAGCTAGAACAAGTGGAGCAACAAAAATAACATAGTGTTAGATTACAACCCAAAGTATAACATGAATATACATGAGTTCATACTGATAAAAATAAACTATTGAATAAATAAATACTTAGGGGAGACTAGACAAATCTGCCTTACAGAATTCCAAATAATTCATGTAGCTGCTCCCCTCTCCAATGAAACAAAAAAATACCAAACTCATTGCCATCGAGTTGATTCTGACTGATAGCGACCCTATAGGACAGAGTAGAACTGTCCCACAGAGTTTCCAAGGAGCACCTGGTGGATTCAAACTGCTGACCTTTTGGTTAGCAGCCACAGCACTTAATTCCCCCACTGCCTTGAGTGTGGACTGGACTTAAGTGTCTCACTTCCAAAGAATAGAAGTATGGAAGTATAGAAAGGGTTGACAAAAAGTAACTTTACGGTGGAGAAACTTGGCAAACATTACCATAACCAAGTGATCAAAGTTAACACCACCAGTGCAAAAACAAATAAGCCAACCCAGAGCAGGAGGGAAATTTTGCTGGAGTTTAAGATCAGGCAGTAGCCAACACTTATACAAGGTTTACTGTGTGCCACCCACTGTACTGTTTTGCATGTGTTTACTTGTTTAATCCTCTCAACAACCCTGTGAGGTGGGTACTGTTATTATTCCCATTTTACAGATTTGAACACTGAGGTTAAGCAACTTGCCAGAGCCACCCAGCTCATGAATGGCAGGGGCAGGAGGCGAGCCCAGGCAGTCCACGCCCTTAGTCCCCCACCCCCGCCATGCCACAGGGCCCCGGATAAAACGGTTTCCCATTTGCTGCCCTCAACTGCTGAGAAAGAACTTTCTCCTCTCTGCCATAATGGGCACCTCCTTAGACATGGTCTGAGAAGCACTGGTTCTGGGGAAACTGAGGCCCCATAATCCACCCAAGGTCCCAAGAAGCCACAATGCCCTGGGCCCCAGGCATCCAGGTCGGGGGCGGTGGGGAGGATGGAGCTGGGTTTGCTGCTTTTTTCCTTTTCTTAGTGGACACTTCCTGCTCTGTGCCAGGCCAACGCTGGGCACTGCGGCCACAGAGGTAGGTCAGGCCCTGTCCTGCCCTCCTGGGGCTCTCAATCTGGGAAAGCAACAGCTTTAGAGAGGGACCCTGAATAATAGGGGAAGGAGCTGGGTGTTATGGGAGCCGGAAAGGGTGCTCCACCTGGCCTGAAGATCCAGGCAGGCTTCCTGGAGGAGGCCAAGGACAAGTGGGAATCCATCAGGTGAGGGGGGAGAAGGACTGTCCCCAGAAGCATCTGTCTCTGCTCTGATACCCCCCACCATGCTGCAGACCTCTGTGGGGGTGGGGGGGGGGTGATCTGAGTCTCCCCTCCAGCCCCTGGGCCCCATTCTGCCTCCATCGTCCCCAGCCCATGGTTGTGGGTGCCACAAGCACCCTAGGACCCAGCCCCTGCTCGCACTCCCACCCCTGGCAGAAACTTCACCTCTGACCTCAGTCGTCTCAGCAGGGAAGTGGGCTCCCAGCTGCAGGACCCTTGGCAGCCTTTGATGCTCCCGACAAAGGCCTGCAGGAGGTGAAGGCGGCAATTACAGGGTGTAGGGCGGGAGTCACCCTCTTCTCTACTGCTCCCAGTCTGGATGGCAAGTTAAAACAGTGTTGTCGGGCCCCTGCCTGGGTTTTCTAATTAATTAGCAAATCCTGGAGGAATGGGCAAGCCCACATCCTCTCAGCTCCTGCTGTGGCCCTGGCCTGCGACAGGGCCGGGCACAGTAGGTGCTGCTAGAAGAGAGGCTGAATGAACTAGTACAGGAAGTGCGTGAGTCCTCAGATCAGCCTCTCCATCCCTTTGCCCAGGCTGTGCTCTGTGCCTGGATCACCCTCTCCCAGGCTCAGTGTCTGGCACCCAGTAGGCCCTCAATAAATATTTGCTCAACATGCAAATGAATGAAGGGCCAGTTGGATTTTTAGGACTTAAAGGGTCCAGTGGAGTCATATGGAAAGTCTCTCCTCCCTGGAGCCAGATATTCAGATATTCAGTATCTCAAGATTGTATGTAGGGGTAAAAATCCTGTCGCCATTGAGTCAATTCCTACTCGTGGTGACCCCACGTGTTACAGAGTAGAACTGCTCCATAGGGTTTTCTTGGCTGTGCTGTAATCTTTACAGAAGCAGATTGCCAGACCTTTCTTCCTTGGATCTACTGGGTGAGTTTGAACCACCAGCCTCTAGGTTAGTAGTGGAGTGCAAACTGTTTGAGCCACCCAGGGACCTTGTGTGGAGTAAGTGCTACACAGACTGCCCCAGCTCCCTCTGGCTGGCTGGGACACTCAGGCAGTGAAGGAGAAAGGGTCAAGTATTTCTAAACACCTGCTAAGTGCAATGAATAAGGAAGACTGAAGAACGGATGCCTTTGAATTAGGGTGTTGGCGAGGAATATTGAATATACCATGGACTGCTAAAAGAACGAACAAATCTGTCTTGGAAGAAGTACAGCGGGAATGCTCCTTAGAAGCGAGGATGGCGAGACTTCATCTTACATACTTTGGACATGTTACCAGGAGGAACCAGGTCCTGGAGAGGGACATCATGCTTGGTAATGTAGAGGGTTGGTGAAAAAGAGGAAGACCCTCAACAAGATGGATTGACACAGTGGCTGCAACAATGGGCTAAAGCATAGCAACAATTGTGAGGATGGTGCAGGACCAGGCAGTGTTTCATTCTGTTGTGCTTGGGATCGCTATGAGTCAGAACCAACTTGAAGGCACCTAAGAACAACTATGTGTCAGTCACTATGCCAAGCCCGAGACCCACGTTGTCTAACTGAAGGATCATAATGTATCTGCAAGGCATGGATTTAGTCCCATTCTACGATGAGGCCACTGAGGCTTATAAAGTTATAGTGATTAGACCAAGATACCACAGCGAGGAGGTGACAGAACAGGATAGCAGTGGCGTCACTAGGGAGGTGCAGGGGGTTCGGACCACGCTGGGTAATGCTGTCTGAGGGAATGACAGCAAAATTACTGTCTATAAAATTTTTGTGTAGTGTTTCAACAGAAATTTATTATTTTTTATAAAAATATCCCTGTAGTAGGGGAAGTCAGCACAGCTGGACTAAAACAAAAGTTAAGAAGTTTCCTGAAAACAACCAAACACTTAGAGGGACAAAGTAGCAGGGGTAGGGGTCTAGGGACCATGGCTTCAGGGAACATCTAGGTCAATTGGCATAACAAAGTTTATTAAGAAAATGTTCTGTATCCTACTTTGGCGAGTGGTGTCTGGGGTCTAAAAGCTAGCGAGGGGCCATCTAAGATGCATCAATTGGTCGCAATCCACTTGGAGCGAAGGAGAATGAAGAACACCAAAGACACAAGGAAAATATTAGCCCAGGAGACAGAAAGGGCCACATAAACCAGAGACTCCATCAGCCTGAGACCAGAAGACCTAGACAGCGCCTGGCTACCACCAATGACCGCCCTGCCAGGAAACACAATAGAGAGACCTTGATGGAGCAGGAGAAAAGTAGGGTGCACAACTCAAATTCTAGTAAAAACACCAGCCGTAATGGTTTGAGACTGGAGGGACCCTGGAAGACATGGCCCTGGACTCTCCGTTAGCCCCAAACTAAAACCATTCCTGAAGCCAACTCTTCAGACGAAGATTAGACTGGACTATAAGACATGAAATGACACTCACGAAGAGTGAGCTTCTTAGCTCAAGTAGAGACATGAGACTAAATGGGCAGCTCCTGTCCAGAGGCGAGATGAGACGGCAGAGAGGGTCAGGAGCTGGCTGAAAGGACACAGGAAATCCAGGGTGGAAAGGAGGAGGGTGCTGTCACAGTATAGGGAGAGCAACTAGTGTCACATTACAATGTACGTATAAATTTTTGTATGAGCAACTGACTTGAACTGTAAACTTTCACTTAAAGCACAATGAAAAAAAATACAAAAAAAAATCCTGTAGTTAGTTATAACAACAAAAATTTTTTTAGTAAGTCCAGCTTACATGTATCAATATACCTACAAGTCTAAAACTATGCTAATTTACTTTTTGAACTTTCTAATGCCCTGCAGTCAGAGCTGTCATTATTACCCAATTACAACGATGCTTCGAATCACGAGGTTTCGTCTGCACACACTACAAACATGCACTGTTGTTTTCATGTATAATTTTGTCACATTTTCTGGTGTTTTAGCTACAATATTGTGATAATTAGCATGGGGGGGTGACACCATGAGTTACCGCACTGGGTGACACCAAAACCCCAGTGACACCACTGCAGGATAGGAAACGAGGGTCGTCTCATTCTACTTCCTGGTGCCGAGTGAAATTTGGGGGTTTGGGGGACTCTTTAGGGAGCATGGCAGCGGGAAGACTCTCAGACTGGAAAATGAAGTCAGAGGTTCTACTGGGCACCTCCTGTTGGCACGTCTCTCAGCGTCCCTGGGTCTGTTCGTCTATCTGTAGCGTGGAGGGCTCAGAAAAGTCTATCTTGGCCAGGATGAGGGTTCCCTGCCCACCCTCCACGACAGACTTGCTCACTCCTGGCTCCTGGCACCCTCACCCCAGGCAGCCCAGGCACAGGCCCCACAGCCCCTCTCGGCTCTGGCTTTCCAATCCAACCCCTGGCAGCTGCTCTCTGTCGGCAGAACCAGGCCCCAGTTTCTGGGAAGCAGCAGCCGCATTCCGCCCCTGCTGGGGTGGGGGCCCCTCTCTCCCGCTGGGCCCGGGCCCTGTTTCAGCAGCCTCATCACATTCCCAGCGGCCTCAGCAGCCTGGATCAACGGACGCCGTTTCCACACTGGTCTGGCAGAGCCAGGCAGCTGCATGACCAGGTATCCTGCTGGGAGGAGGGGCTTTTTCCTCAGGGACCAGGCCTCAGGGGCCAGGCAGACCAGGCCCAGCATCTGGGCCCAGACAGGTACACCCCAAGCAGCCTCCCGACACTCATATGCTATGCCCACTTCCCCAAACTCCACACCTACCCATTGTATTCTGCGCCCCATTCAGCCTCCCCAGACTAGCCTTCAATTTTCCTCATGCTGAAACTGTCCCTCTTCTGGGGCCTTCCCCCCGTCCCCACACACCCATCCCCTCCCTTATTCCTGCCTGTGGGAATTGTACCACCCTTCCAGGCCCAACTCAAATTCTGGTCCTCCAAGATACCTTTGCAGAACCACCCTGCTGCCAACCGGTGGGGAAAGATCAACCCACCTCCCTCATCTCTCATCACAGCTTAGAGATTGCAGTGGCGCGCAAATGAAACTCAGGGGCCTGTCTGTCTGTCCCTGGCACTCTACTCTGAGCAGTCCCACTTGTTTCTTTCTGTGTGTGTGTGTGTGTGTGTGTGTATGTAATGAAGTGATGTTGTTGTTGTTAGGTGCTGTCCAGTCCGTTCCCACTCCTAGCGACCCTGTGTACAACAAAACAAAACTCTGCTTGGTCCTGCGCCATCCTCACAATCGTTGCTATGTTTAAGCCAATTGTTGCAGCCACTATGTCATTCCATCTCATTGAGAGTCTTCCTCTTTTTTGCTGTCCCTCTACTTTACCCAGCATGATGTCCTTCTCCAGGGACTGGTCCCTCCTGATAACATGCTCCCTGATAATTAAGGCCCCTTGGTGGTGCAGTGGTTAAAGCACTCAACTGCCAACCAAAATGTCGGCTGTTCGAACCCACCAGCTGCTCCGTGGGAGAAAGATGTGGCAGTCTGCTTCTGTAAAGATCACAGCTTTGGGAACCCTATGGGGCAATTCTACTCTGTCCTATAAGATCACCATGAGTCGGAATCGACTCCACGGTAATGGGTTTAATAAAATGGTAATAGCTAGTAATTATTGAGCAGTGAGCACGTGCCCGGCGCTGATCAAAGTGCTTCACAAGGACTGAGTCACTTAATCCTCCCAATAACTCTAGGAACTGTCACTATTTCTATTCCATGAGGGGTGGCGGGGGGTGCTGTATATCCCCATTTGCTTAGGACAGTGTTGGTTTAGGCTTGTTGTCCTGGCATAATTAGTAACAGCATCTCCTTTCCCTCTTTGTCCCTGTTTGGATAATAATTTATTCAGCCACTCAACCGTGACACACAGAAGAGTAAAGGGCTTGCCTAAGGCCCCACAGCTAGCAAGTGGAAGAGGCAGGATTCAGACCAGCACTGTGCCCCAGAGCCCTGCTCTACAACATTGATTGATTTCCAAGTAGATGAATCCAGGCCTTCTCACTCCCCCTGCCCTCCTTGCCTGTCATTCGACAACTTTCTCCAGAGCCAACTATGTGCCTCCCTGCCTGGGGCTCTTCCCCACACCCTTGGCACGACAGATGTCCTCTTACCTTTCTGCTCATGCTCAGAGAGGGTCCGTGATCACCCATCTTACAGGTGTCCCCGTGTTTCCTTTGTGGCACTTAAAAAAAAACAGCTTTAGTGAGATATAATTCACATATACCATTCACCCTTTCATTTTACTTGGACCTACAATCAACACCCATGGAAGAGGCAGTCAAGAAATCAAAGGAAGTATTCTACTGGGCAAATCTGCTGCAAAAGATCTCTTTAAAGTGTTAAAAAGCGAAGATATCACTTTGAGGACTAAGGTGAACCTGACCCTAACCCTGGTGTTTTCCATTGCTTCATATGCATGGAAAAGCTGGACAATGAATAAGGAAGACCAAAGAAGAATCGAAGCCTTTAAATTATGGTGTTGGCGAAGAATATTGAATATACCACGGACTGCGAGAGGAACGAATAAATCTGTCTTGGAAGAAGTAAGCCAGAATGCTCCTTAGAAGCAAAGATAATAAGACTTCATCTCACATACTTTGGACATGTTGTCAGGAGGGATCAGTCCCTGGAGAAGGACATCATGCTTGGTAAAGTTGAGGGTCAGCGAATAAGAGGAAGACCCTCAACGAAATGGACTGACACAGTGGCTGCAACAATGGGCTCAAGCATAACAATGATTGTGAGGATGGAAAGGCGGGGCCGTGTTTCCTTCTGTTGTACACAGGGTGGCTATGAGTCGGAACTGACTGAGCCACATCTAGCAACAAAAACAACGTTCACCATTTCAAGTGTATAAGCCAATGGTTTTTAGTATATTCACGGATTTGTGCAAACATCACCTCAGTGAATTTTAGAACATCTTCACCTGAAAAAGAAACCCTACCCCTCTTGGCTATCACCCTCCCAGATCCCTCCTCACACCCCCTAGGCAACCACTGACTTTCTGTCTCTATGGGTTTGCCTACTCTGGACATTTCATATGAATGGAATCATGTACTATGTGGCCTTTTGGGACTGGCTTCTTTTCACTTCACATCGTGTTTTTGAGGTTCTTCCATGTTGTAGCCATGTATCAGTACTTCCCTCCTTTTTATGGCTTAATACTCTTCCATTGTATGGACAGACCACATTGGTTTAGCCAGTCATCAGTTGGTGGACATTTGGGTTGTTTCCATTTTTTGGCTATTATGGATAATAATGCTTTGAATATTAGGGTACAAGTTTTTATCTGGACATATGTTTTCATTTATCTTGGGAAGATACCTAGGAGTAGACTCGCTGGTCTTACAGTAACTCCATGTTTAACCGTTTGAGGAACTGTCAGACTGTTTTCTACGTGGCTGCACCTTTTTCTATCCCCAGCTTCGTGTGAGGGTTTCCAGTTTCTCCTTCATAGCACTTCGTAGCATTTTGACCCTTTGCAGTTATGGGCTCTCATGATGCGATACTATTTGTCATCGAGCCCCACCTCCCTCACGGGAGCTCCACAAGGGCAGACAGATCTGCTTTGTGGCTCCTGGATCCGCAAACCTGATACACCGTGGGAGCCCCCAACACGTCTGATGAATGAATCAGTGATGGTGCTCTGTGCCAGGGAGATGGTGGGAAAACGTGGGTAGTACCCTCACAGGCTTCCTGGACTGCAGGGAAAGAGAGACCCATGAAACATCAACAGTACTCAAAAGGTAAATGCTGTGGTGCTTATCAGGGAAGGCTTCCTGGAGGAGGTGGTATCTGAGCTGAGAGTGAGGCTAGAGGGGAAGAATGCAGGGTGTTCCAGGCTGGGTAAGGCTCAGAAGCTGACGGAATGCCAGTGTGGCTGGTGTTTCCCAGGGTAGCAGGGAGATCCAAGGTTAAAGGGGTGAGCAGGGGTCTGAACCTTGCTGCCCTGCTAAGGATTTGATTTTCATCCTAAGGGTGGACACAGGGAAGCCACTCAATGGTACTTAACTGGGAGAAGGGGGCAAGAAAAACTGAACTTTTTTTTCCCAAAATTATGCTGTCCCCCTGTAAAAAATTCTCTAAGTGTTTGACTCATAACAAAAGAAAAGTCCGTTTATTTGTCAGTCTTTCATGGGACCATGGCCACCACTGCCTGCCTGGCCCTCCCGGGCCTGCTCTTCAGAGCTGCAATGGGGCTGAGCCACTGAGGATGCAAACGACACCCCCCACCCACACGGCCCCAATCGCAGCCATCTGTCCCCTGCTCCCAGGCTGGGCATCTGGGAAGGTCCATGGTGGTGGCCTCTGACATCACAGCGGGAGGCAATGTGATGTCACAGGGCCCCATTGTGGCCGCCAAGGGGAGGTGCCACCATCAGAGGCTTGCTCCTCACCCCCGCCCAATCCTATTAAGCATGGACTGGGGACAAAGGAGGATGCTTTGTCACAAGGCCGCAGAGGGAGGGGACAGGCAAGAGGCTGTGCATTCCAACGCCCTCCACTTCCCCCAGCTGGGCCTCTGGGCCAGGCTGGAGGCCCCTGCCACCTCCAGTCCCTGTCTCCAGGCCCCCGCCCCCACACTGGGGTTGGCTCCTCACTGGGGCTTCCCAGCAAGTGGGGGCAACAGAGCTGAACAAACTTCAGGCCCCTCTTCCTCCTGCATGTCACCCTTGAAGCTACGGCCAGGGCCTAGGGTGAGGGGGCTGCAGACAGAGCCTCACCTGGGTCCCCGACATTCAGCCTGCAGGATGAAGAAAGGAAGCCTTGGGGGGCTCCAGGGGCCATGGGCTGGGGAGTAGGAGGCCAAGAGTCTACTGGAAGCCAGAGAGACACAACCCCCTGATAGACAGGCCTGGGGAAGCAACCCCAGGGCATGATGGGGGACTAGGAGGTAAAGAGGGATAGGGAATTGTGCCACAGCAGCCAAGAGCATCGCTGAGCATTTATTAAACACTCACTAGGTGCCGCACAGGAGTCCCTGAGTGGTGCAAACAGTTAAGCGCTTGACTACTAACTGAAAGATTAGCAGTTCGAACCCACTCTGAAGCATCTCGTAAGAAAGACCTGGCTCTGCTTCTGAAAGATCACAACTTTGAAAACCCTATGGAGCGTAGTTCTACTCTGCAACACACGGAATTGTCATGAGTCAGAATCGACTTGACAGCAAGTTTTAGGGTTTTTTTTTTTTTTTTGGTTTCGGTGCTGCATGAGTCTGTGCTATAGTTACTTGCGGGTCACCTTCCTCGAAACCCTGGAAGGTGGTGGCCACCACCAACCCCAGACCTGGCCACTCTGGGCGGGCACCAGAGAGGGAGGCCTCAGCTTGGGCACGGCTCTGCCATCCCTTCTTCACCCCGGTGTCCCTGAGTCTCCCCCTTGGCTGGGAGGAGGGGGCAGGACTCCTCCAGGTTCAGGCTCTGGCATCAGACGACCTGGGCTGCAGTTCCTCCTCTGCCTTGAACTCTTGTACGCTCCCCGCCCTTTGAGCCTTTGTTTACACGTCTGTAAAATGGGAATAACAATACCCATCTCACCACTCACAGTGTTGTTGTGAGGACTGGGCAAGATAATGGGAGCCAAGCCCCAGAATGCTGCTCCATCATTACCCA